TGAGATGTGTACATTTTGTAAATATTTATAAATAATGACAATAATCATAGAAAGACCTGCACTTGGAGACTTTAAAAGAGGGTCTTGGTGGGGAATGAAGTGTATTTTTGGAAATTTTTGTAACATTCATGAACAGCAATAAAAGTGCCTGTTGTGTGTTTTGTGCTGTGCATGATCTGATTTTTTTGTCATGGATACATACCCCATATCCTTTGTTTATATTTGAATATGAAACTTTATGAAATTTTGGTGAAGGCCATTTTGGAGCCCTCTAATAGAGGGTCTAGATTGGGTTTACGGAATAGAGAATAAGGACAAAACATGCAGAATAAAGGGCCCAAAAAAATAAATAAATAGAAGATATGTCATATATATATACATATTCATGACAACCATGCAATTAAAGATTTAAATTAATTAAAGCTTTAACGAAAAAAAACACTTGAAACTCAAACATGTACCTTAATACCTTGACAGTATAATCAATCATATCTTTATGATCCAATATTTGCATGAGCATTAAACAATTAAATGTTAGAAGAAAAAAATTGGACCAATACAGAATAATGAGGTGCTAAAATATAGAGAATAGACAATAATGGACTAAAGGTTGAAACCCGCTGCATTTTTATGCACACCTGTCCTAAGGAGCCTGTTGTTCAGTGGTTGTAGTTTGTTGGTATGGTTCATAAGTGTTTCTCGTATCTGTTTTTTGTCGAGCCTGCGACTTTTGTCGCAGAAAGCTCGACATAGGGATAGCGATCCGGCGGCGGCGGCGGCGGCGGCGTTAGCTAACTTCTTAAAAGCTTTATATTTTAGAAGATGGAAGACCTGGATGCTTCATACTTTGTATATAGATGCCTCATGTTACGAAGTTTCCGTCAGTCACATGTCAAATGTCCTTGACCTCATTTTCATGGTTCAGTGACTACTTGAAAAAAAAGTTCAGATTTTTTGTAATGTTAAATTCTCTCTTATTATAAGTAATAGGATAATTATATTTGGTATGTGCGTACCTTGCAAGGTCCTCATGCCCGTCAGACAGTTTTCACTTGACCTCGACCTCATTTCATGGATCAGTGAACAAGGTTAAGTTTTCGTGGTCAAGTCCATATCTCAGATACTATAAGCAATAGGTCTAGTATATCCGGTGTATGGAAGGACTGTAAGGTGTACATGTCCAACTGGCAGGTGTCATCTGACCTTGACCTCATTTTCATGGTTCAGTGGTTATAGTTAAGTTTTTGTGTTTTGGTCTGTTTTTCTTATACTGTATGCAATAGGTCTACTATATTTGGTGTATGGAATGATTGTAAGGTGTACATGTCTAGCTGGCAGGTGTCATCTGACCTTGACCTCATTTTCATGGTTCAGTGGTCAAAGTTAAGTTTTTGAGTTTTAGTCTTTCTTTCTAATACTGCATGCAATAGGTCAGCTATATTTGGTGTATGGAATGATTGTAAGGTGTACATGTCTAGCTGGCAGGTGTCATCTCACCTTGACCTCATTTTCATGGTTCAGTGGTCAAAGTTAAGTTTTTGAGTTTTGGTCTTTTTTTCTAATACTATATGCAATAGTTCAACTATATTTGGTGTATGGAAATATTTTATGATCTATATGTCAGTTACGCAGGTTTTATTTGACCTTGACCTCATTTTCAAGGTTCATTGCTCAGTGTTAAGTTTTTGTGTTTTCATCTGTTTTTCTTAAACTATAAGCAATAGGTCAACTATATTTGTTGTATGGAAGAATTGTTAGCTGTACATGCCTGCCTAGCATGGTTCATCTGACCTTGACCTCATTTTCATGGTTCATTGGTCAATGTTTAGTTTACTTGGTTAATGTTGAGTTTATGTGACAGTTGTAATAAAGCTTTATATTTAGGACTATCAACATAATATCAATGATTAGTAAAGAAGGCGAGACATTTCAGCGTGTGCACTCTTGTTATAAAGATTAGACCGTTAGTGTTCATGTTTGAATTGTTTTACACTAGTCTTTTTGGGTCCCTTTATAGCTTGCTGTTCGGTGGTGTGAGCCAAGCTCTGTGTTGAAGGCTGTACTTTGACCTATAATTGTTTTCTTTTTACACATTGTGACTTTGATGGATAGTTGTCTCATTGGCACTCATACCACATCTTCTTATTTATAAAAATATAAAGATTAGAGAAAAAACAGGGTAAAAAATTATGTTTAACATGAATTTAAAACTTATTAATCTAGTAATTTTTTATGCCCCCGCCATATATAGGCAACAGGGGTATTAAGTGTTACCCTTGACCATCCATCTTTCCGTCCATCCTTCCGTCCATCCCATTTTCGTTTCCACACTCTTAAGTTTGCCTCATGCAAATTTTATGAAACTCTTACACAATGCTAAGAACTAAAACAGACAGAGTTTGAACTTTGCAGTGAGTCAGTTACCATTCTAGATTTATGCCTCTTGATAACTTGGAAAATTGCAATTTGTTTTTTTTCACACTCTTTCTAAAGTTTGTCTCATCCACATTTTATGAAACTCATACAAAATACAAAGAACCACAACACACAGACAGAGTTGGAATTTGGGCAGTGAGTCATTTACCTTTCTAGAGTTATACCTCTTTTTAACTTGGAAAATTGCAAAGCTTGAGCGGGGGCGTTCGTGTCCTCAGACACATTCTTCTTTTATTTTCCTACATTTTTAACATGTGATCACTCCTTCAGACCCCCTAAAAATACATTGATTAAGTGCAGTTACTATTGTTGTAGATTTAAGAGGCCATGCAGTTTTATCTAGATCTCGATCGAGTACATTGGGTATTTCCTGGACCATGTGTTGTTTGTTGTTGATTGTCTTTGATTGTACATTAGGCCTGACCCTTAAGAATTCTTTGTCTGATGTTGCCTACCCATGCCTTGTAGAGTTGGGTAGGTAGGTAGGGATTTTTTTTTTGGCCAACATGGCCAACAACATAAGTTATATGTTTTAGACAGGAAAACGAATTTTGAGCAGGAATAAATCTTTTAAAAAAGTTTTGAACCAATTTTTGTCATAAAATTTTCGGGTAGGCTGCTTTTTAGGTGGATAGGTAGGCAACATCAACAATCTAAATTTTGTTTTTAGCCTTATAGATCTGTTTCGGAGGAGTTGGGTGTTGGTGGATTCGTGTGGTCTATCATACATGTATTGTCAAATATAAGGTTTATATTCCAGTTATTATCTTTTTATGCATTATTCAAAATAACATATTCATTTAGAAAAATATTGATAATAAAGAAAATACTTATATTTGATTAGCAAGTATCATTTTCTGATTAAAACAAGTTAAACAATACAATAATATACACTAAAAAATGGAATGCAATCTCACAATAGATTCATGGATTTATAGCACAATTAGCTATAAAGCAAATTGCCTGAAAGCCATTCCATAATATAATTTAAATATTAATCAATACCAAGGACTCAAATCACAACGTAAGCATACAACAAAAAAAACACAAGCAAAGTCAACCTAATCTATAATGTAGGATCGTCCAAAAAGGGTAGAAATAAGATGTTCTGTCCAACTTGCCAAGGGGTTAAAAGCTCTGCATTTTTTGGAAATTAATTTTTCTAACGAAACCTTGCTAGAATTAAAAGAGAACTTAGGTAAGGGAGCTACCATTTGATTTTTAGGGGGGGGGGATGAAATTTGAATTACAGGCAGGAGAGGAGTTTTGAGTTAAAAAAAAGGCAGGATATGAGCAACTTGGCAAAAAAAAAAAGGCAGAATGTAGATTTATGTAAAAAAAAGTCAGGATAAACTAAATAAAAAAAAGGCAGAACTGAATAGAGTGAAAAATAAAAAGACAGGACAGAGATTACAACTAGAAAAAAAATGCAGGAAAATATTTTTCATCCTAGCCCCCCCATAAAAATCAAAAGGTAGCTCCATCAAGTTTGTCCTTTGTAAAGTCTGCTTGCTGCTAGACAGTGTTAGACCTCTAATTTCTTAGTAACCCTAGTCTTTAAGCCATCAGAAGCAGTATGGTTCAGATACTTAAAGTAGTGTTGTTCTTGGTCAAGTGGTCTAAGTAGTTCATTTACAGTAATCACTAGCCTGTTAACACTGAGGTTGTGAGTTCCAACCCCGCACTCTATGGTTCAGATACTAAAAGGGGTGTTGTTGGTCAAGTGGTCTAAGGAGTTTGTTTACAGTAATCACTAGCCTGTTAACACTCAGGTTGTGAGTTCCAACCCCGCAGTCTCTATGGTTCAGATACTAAAAGGGGTGTTGTTGGTCAAGTGGTCTAAGTACAAAAATGTAGTTTGTTTACAGTGATCACTAGCCAGTAAACACTGAGGTTGTGAATTCCAACCCTGCACTCTGCCAGGTGCGTTAGACTGCGATCTTAATGGACTAGGATTGCCAGCTCAGTCCTGCTAAGGGTAGGTGGTTCTCTCAGGGAACCCAGGCTACTTCCACCTATAAAAACGGTCCAGTATCATAAAGCCAAGAGTACTAAAACTGGCATTAAACGCCAACAACCAATTAGATTCCACAAAAGAATTTAATACTGTGGATTCATTGTTATTCGTGTGATACTCCTTTTTATGGATTTTGTTGGTACAGGTGAACCACAAATTTGAATGTTTAAGGAATTACAAATTAGCTTTTTGGGTTGTATGCAGAATTTGATAAGACCACGAAATTAAATATTCATGAAAATGCAAGATTTCTTCAGTCCACGTAAAATTGGTACCCAATGAATCCACAGTTTTGAATGTTGTTCTATCTCTACAGGAGGGTCTGGATTGGGGACCTTCATTTCTGTATTCTTTAATTTTTAGGCCATTTTTGCCCATTATTCTCTATTCTTTATATATTAGCACCTCAATTATCTATTCTTTATTTTTTTGGGGCCATTTTTCTCTATTCTTTATATTTTTTGCCCATTATTCTCTATTCTGTAAACCCCCATCCACACCCTTCTATAGTACATAAGAACTTTATATGTTGTTCTGTCTTTTGCAGGAAATGTAGAGCTTGATCCTGGCATCTACATACATTCAGCACCATCAGTTGTTATTGCTCAAAAGAATAGTCCACTACTGCTGAACTGTTCTGCCTCATCTTCACCAGACTCAGGTCCGGTCACCATCACATGGTATAAGGATGGCCAGCCTGTCGTCATTGACAGGCGGGTACAGGTCAGAGACAATGGCTCGTTATATTTCACACAAGTGAAGAAAAATCGTAATTCTAAGAACAAAAACAGAAACCATAATGGATTCTACGAGTGTTTTATGAAAAACAAGTATGGTACTGTTATTGCAAGACAGGTCCATCTTCAAGTTGCAAGTAAGTGTAAATTTTTCTCATACTGTTGGTTCATTTATTTACGTTGGTACCAATTTTCTGTGGATTGAGGGAGATTTTTATTTTCCTGGATATTTGATTTCATGGTTTGCCAATATCAGCATACAAGTCTAAAAATATTTATACTTCATTGAACATTCAAATTCATGGTTCATGTCTTTACCCCGGAAATCCACAAAAATTGGTATCACACGAAAAATAATGAATCCATGGTATACAGAACTTTTATGTAGTAATACTGAAATCTTAAGCACAATATGATAAATTGTTGATTAGAGGTGGAAACTGCATATTAATAGCCAAGCTTGCCTTTTTATATGGCCGTTTACGGGGTATTATGGTATACTTCTGTCTGTCCGTCCATCTGTCTGTCCATCTGTCTGTCCGTCCGTCATCCACATGTCGTACAATAACTCAAAAACGCTTTAACCAATTTGCATGAAACTTTGGTGAATTGTTTATATCTATTGACGTGCGCTCCCTTTCGTTTTTTATAAATTTTAGATTTTATGTTTCCGAGTTGTGGGTTTTAATTCATTAAAAAAGGGGGGATTTTCTAGTTTTCAGACAATAACTCAAAAATGCTTTAAGCGGTTTTCATGAAACTTTGGTGAATTGTTTACATCTGTTGACATGAGCTGCCTTTCGATTTGTATAATTTTCAGAATTTAAGAAAGTTGTAGTGCAGTGAGGGTTTTAAAGTTTCACATTAACAATAATTTCAATCCACTATAAAAAATTTTATGCACCCGCCATGGCAGAGGGGGCATTAAGTGTTACCCTTGTCCGTCTGTACATCCTAAAATTAGTTTCCGTTCCCTTACTTTAGTTTGCCTCAATCAAATGTTATGAAACTTATACACAATACTAATTACCTGAAAAAACAGATCAATTTCGAATTTGGGTTGCGTCACTTTTACCGTTCTTGAGTTATGCCCCTTTAAAATGTTATATGTAGTCAAGGGCATCATCTGTGTCCAATGGACACATTCTCCATTTATTTGGTATATAATGGGACATAACGGTTACATGTACATTTGTAATAGATTTTAATACTTGTTATGTTTAAAGGACAAAAGGCCTTGAGGAAATTTTCTAATGGATGTTGTGACATTACTTTATGAAAGTGTTTTTTCAAAACATATAAATGTACCTAATAAAAGTACAGCATTATGTAACTCTGTGTAACTTTCTTATGATCTGATTATGTTCAATTTGCTATATATAGAAATCAAATATTAATTATGTCAACAGTAAATCAGTCACAGAATTTAAATGTTGGAATTAAATTAATGCTTTAATTTGTTTAGAAATTCTATGGGTTTGCACAAGTTCACTTCAAATGTAGGATACATTTTAAAGGAAAGTTGCTACAGATTGTAATTGTGAGCTTTATCTTGATTGAGTATCGTTTGAATTCGTCAGTGAAGATTTCAGATTGTTGAAGCGTGTGAGAAAGTTGCACAATCATATTTATTTTAAAGTGTTGCATAAAATTTATGAAACACCCTTCTCTTTGATGTTATACTTGAACATAAAACTTGCTTAAATAATATTAAATTTTATTGTGTTGATTTATGAAGAAAGTTCCCCATATTATTCCAGTGTCAACTTTAAGTGGTCTTGTTCAGTTACAAGATTTGATATGAATAATTTTGACAATTGTTTATTTCATTTTTGGTAGGTGTTTGTGCACGTCGGCCATCATTTTGAAATTTTTGAAAGATAAATTTTTAAAAGACAGAGCCTTCTATCATTGCCATCCCCTGACGACATTTTGAGCACATTTGGAGTAGCTAGGATTCCTGGTCAGTCTTCAATGCTTTGCACATGATTTGTAAGCTAGGTTACCAGTTTAATTCTTGCTGACCAATTGATTACCTTGATTTAGGTCCTTGTTTAAAAGAAAATCCAAAAGAACAAGTTTGTTTTATCATTGCTATTTCATTCTTATTTCAAGATAAAGTCTAAAGTATGAATTTTGGGGGCTTTTATTCAAAATTGATATTTTAATTAGTTAATTTGATTGAACAATCCTTAATTTGAAATATTTAAATGATTGAATTATAAAAGCAGTGGTCAGCCAACTGACCTACTAGCATTTAATTATGTTTTATAGAAATCTAATGGTTAACTATTAATTAAATGAAAAATAACTGGTAAAGGAGTAAGTCCGGTAAGGGCTAGTTTTGGCCTAATATTCGAAGAACATCTGATGAAAGATTTTAGATTTTTTTTAACACTTAAGAGTCTTCTTCAGTTGATTCAATTCGTTTTTGTAAAATATTTGAACTGATTTGGTCATCAGAGACGCTCAAATTCTAGCTTAAAATGAAAAAATCTATCAAATATGCCATAAAACATCACTTTTCAGATGGTTTTTGTCAAAATTGGAATTGGCCGCATTCGTGTTCAGTCTCAACCTTTATATATATGTAATTTATTATCCTAAAATACAACATATATTTAAATATTAAGTATGAACACAAATGCGGCCACTTGCATTTAAGACAAAAACCGTCTTAAAATTAACACAAACGCTACAGTTGTGAAGATGTTAGTAATTTTGCATAAATTTATGATGCCATTACCTGATGCATGTGCATTGTATTGTCAAAAACAGCCCATATTTATGGAACACAAGTATCATACTTTCCAATGAAGAGCTAAAAGTTTACATTTCAACAAATTTGTAAAAATGCTATATTTTGGGGCCAAAAAGGGGTCTTACCTGGCCTACTCCTTTATCCATCTTTGACTAGGAAAAACAGTGCTGGAAAAGGAAGGCAAAACATTAATTTAGTAAAGTGTTTGTTCCTTTTGGTTCTGGGTGCATGATGCAGTACTACGCTTTTTCTATGGTAAGATGTATTTTATCATGTGAAAATGTTAATCATATGATAATTTTGGGGCAATTTAAAAAATAAAATGGTAATTTATTTGAAGTTGGGACAGATGGTTAGTGATGGCAGGCGTGTCCTAAATATAAATAGATAAACTAAAAAGCAACATAGATTACTGTTGATTCATTATTATTCTTGGGGAACCAAGAGGTATGATCGATAAGGCCCCAAAATTGCCCCTATTTCTAGCTTAATTTTCATATTAGGATTTAACGGACATAATATCACAATGTTTGATAGCTTTAACAATAACTAGATAGAAAATAGGTGGTATTTTTTTAAACTTATGTATCAACGTTCTTTTTATGACATCATAATTAGCATCTACGTATATTTTCCATCAAATTCAATGAAAAACATGCAAATTTCAATAAGTTTTTGGATCTAGCAAAATGAGTTCTTGTGTCAACAGAAAAAAAAAATTTTCACATCATATTGTTATTAAAAATTTAATGCTTAATTTTTTTATAATTTTATCAGGGTGTAAAAGCGTTGACTGAAGCACATTTTAAAAATATGCACACGAACAATGCTTTTACACCCCAATAACATTATAAAAAGAAGCATTCAATTCTTATAATTACATTTTTATGATGCTACAACCATGAAATTAAGAGTTCTGTCTATCTTTTTAACATTTTTATTTTAACATTGTCATGTGCAGTCATAGGTGTTGTATTTTATATGGAAATAAAATATAACATTGGAGTGCCTCACAATTATTGTCTGCAAATCAAAATTACAGATTCTAATAAAGCATACATGTAATGTAATTATTAACAAATGAAATATCTCAGACTTAATTATTTAGTTTGTCGAAGCCTGGGCTCTAACATGTTTCCTAGACCTAATCGTGGTTCAAATCAAGATCTTTCACAAAAGTCTCTACTTTTGATCTAATTGGATGTAACTTTCAAATGTTTGTAAGAAAACATTACAAAAGTCACTTAATATGCATCAGTTTGAAAGACGTTTTATCTTGAAATAATAGACTTAATATTTGAGCCCTAAAAAAGAGCACTTACCAAACCTACTCCTGACATGGATTTCGTGGCTATAGATTAGCCACACGTTTATCTGTTCAGCAAGTGCACATTTTCTATTGGCTTGTTCCCTTATAGACATATCATTAAGATATAATTTGAAATTGAATGTTCCTTATGAAGGTAGATCCAGAAAAACGATTATAATGCATAAAATTTATAACGTTTTGTTTTCATTTTATATAACAAAAAACGACCACTGACAAGGTTCTTGTCTGAGTGGAACAAGCATATGAACATGTTGAAGGGTTAAATGTAAAAAAAATTCATCAGTTATCTCCCATTTGAACAATATTCCCTTAATGAAAAGACCATTATAATACTATAGAAGACAACTACTGATGAGGTTCCTGACTTGGGACAAGCATGTGAGTATGTGGCATGGTTAACTTAAGCCATTTTCATGTAAACAAATTTGAAGAGTAATCCCCCATTTGACCAGGTTTACATCTTTTTTTCTTTAAAAAAAAAACCAACTTAATTTAATCTCTAAACATTTAGCTTAGGGTACAATGTGTTGATGCCAAAGATCGATCTGCAGATTTCTGATAGTCTCTGTGAGATTTATTTAACAACTATTCCAATACTTAACTTTGGGTTATTTAGAGCAAAACATATTGTATAGATACGTTCCCATATGTTGACCTCAAGATATCAATTTCATTGTGTCATTGGGTTGCTGTTTCATTTTGTCATTGGGTTGCTGTTTCATTGTGTCGTTGGATTACTGTTTCATTGTGTCGTTGGGTTGCTGTTTCATTGTGTCATTGGGTTGCTGTTTCATTGTGTCATTGTGTTGTTGGGGTGATGTTTCATTGTGTCATTGGGTTGCTGTTTCATTGTGTTGTTGGGTTGCTGTTTCACTGTGTCGTTGGGTTGCTGTTTCATTGTGTCATTGGGTTGCTGTTTCATTGTGTCATTGGGTTGCTGTCATTGTGTCATTGGGTTGCTGTTTCATTGTGTCATTGGGTTGCTGTTTCATTGTGTCATTGGGTTGCTGTTTCATTGTGTCATTGGGTTGCTGTTTCATTGTGTCATTGGGTTGCTGTTTCATAGTATCATTGGGTTGCTGTTTCATTGACCAGATCTATGATACACATTTGGAGCTTGAATAGATCTGTGGAAAATATAAACGATCTGGAACTATTTATATGAAGATCTGAGATTTCTCTGACATCTGATAGCCTCTTTTGGGGACTGGTTGGTGTCTTGGAACAGCCCTAACTAAGTCCCCAAAACAGGCTGTGAAGTATGTGAAATCTGGGACTGATAAGATGGAACACGACTTATGCAAGCATTTTAACATTGGAAGACACAAAATTCCAGCTTTAATTTTGTTTTATAGAAATTTATCATAAACCACTTCAGAAAACATTGATCTATTGACTAAAACCTACTCAAGCAAAAATTTTTTTTCAATCTAATTATGCCTTCACACCAATGGTTACGTTTCAGACTTGAGATCAATGTCTAAAGTGGTGTTGCCAAAGATCATGATTAATTCACCACTTTACAATAGAAAGTACTATGGGTAATTTCATTGCTTGTACACAAAAATGAATTTGATTCTGAAAAAAATAAGTTTGTTGTTAATAATCATCTTTATTGTTGATTCTTATTGGTATATTGTAAAAGATGTTGATTAATTCAACACTTTACAATAGAAAATACTATGGGTAATTTCATTGCTTGTACACAAAAATGAATTTGATTCTGAAAAAATTAATAAGTTTGTTGTTAATGATCATCTTTATTGTTAATTCTTATTGGTATATTGATCTGTTGCACAATGGAATGATTATTCAATGCCGCAAAATGTTTATGAATAAAAGGAAGATGTGGGTAATATGTACTTGAGATTATTAAGCTAATAAAACAAAAAAATCTAAATCCCTCTTAAAAATATTTATCTTCACCCTAAACTTTGATATATGTGTATAATTGTTATTGATTTGGGGATGTACGGCAGGCAGGCAGGCAGGAGGGTGGGCGGGCAGCTGCCAAACAGTGTCCGTTCAATTACATGAATACGCCATAAAGAAATTTTTCAAATTTAGTTATGTTGTTTCCTGTGACTAAATGAAGGTCAAGTTCAATTTTCATGATTTTAGCTTTTTACTTTTTTCAGTTATAGCCCTTTCCCAAGAATTCAATTTTTGATGAATCAATTCATTTCTGTACAAAGGGAAATAGCTCATTTTTTATTTAAAAGAGTTTTAAAAGACATTGTATTAATGATAAATGACATTTTGGATTTTTTTCTTTTCTTCAGTAAATTGTTTGAAGAATTTTGTGGTTAAGGTTTGTTTATTATTCTGTATAAACTAATTTTCTGAATGCTATATATATAATTTTTTTGTTTATGCAGTGAACTCCTTTAATTAGATAATAATCTATTTTTATTATAGGGTATATTTCATTACATTTAAAGTTGTTACACTGATAGATAAGTTGCAGATCTGTATTAGTTTGTTACAAATGAAAGACAAAATATTTGGAACTATTAATTATATTTGAATTTAATTTTAAAATAGATATACATTGTGTTACATCATATCTAATTTTAGAGAACTATTAATCATATGTAATGTTAGAGTACTATGTTAAACCATATTTCTGTTCAAAGGGAAATAACCCTTCAGATTTGCAAATATCATTTTCATTATTAATTAGATCTGGGAAATATCTTATCATATGATGATGACTGGAGTGACAGATTTATTTAAAAATTTTCTGTTTCCTGATAAGATCTGTAGGACTGTATAAATAAAGTTTGAAATTTACTGTTCATTATTAGACATTTTGAAGATAATTACAGATAAGTTTTATAGATTTTTAAAAGATATTGTATTAATGAATAACATTTAAGACTTTTTTTCTTCTTTTCTTTGGTATATTTATGCCAGCGCCGTAATAGGTAAATGTCCAATGTATAAATTTTTCAGTTATTTGACTACAGTCTTTTTGTGTCACAAACCTATGATGTGTCAAATATTCAATCACAATCCATATACAAGCTGTTTAAATTAAAAGTTGTGTCCATACTTGTTCAACAGTTCTGGGTTTGGCCTCTGCAGGAAAATCTGGTTTGCTGTCACTCGACAGCCTCTGTTAGATTTGAGGCAACAGATATTGAATTTTGCTGAATTTCACTAGACCCTATCTGAATTTCTCTTGGACTTATAGGAATTTATCTTGGCCCTATCTTAATTTCTCTAGACCCTTTCTGAATTTCTATTGGCCCTATCTGAATTTCTCTAGATCCTATCGGAATTTCTCTAGATCCTATCCGAATTTCTCTTGGCCCTATCTTAATTTCTCTTGGCCTATCGGAATTTCTTATGGCCTTGTTGGAATTTCTCTTGGCTCTATCTGAATTTGACAGAAATTTTGGCATCTTAACTATTTTCAGCCCATTTACACTATAGTACAGGTGGATTTTACATTGTCCACCTGTCCTTACTGTGGGCAGCCCACCCCATCATGTCCACCCAAATTTAACATAAGATTCAGTACAAATATTGAATACAATAGCTTGTCTTTTTTCAAAGGTAAAATATGAACAATTCTTATGATTATTAAAAAAGAAAAGAAATGGTATGTCCACTCTAAAGGGTGGACACAGGAGACATCTAAAAGTATATTGACCAATGCCACTATGGACAGGTTGAAATGGTAAAATCCTTGTGAGCTGTTATTAATAACTGAATGAAATAAAAATTGATTGTCAGTAATTATTTCTTTATTTTTAGGGATTTCAAAGTCCTTCAGTATAGAGCCAGCTGACCAGGAAGTAAAATTAGGGGGCGTGGCACGATTTAAATGTCAGATTGATGGAATACCTCCTCCACTTTATGTCTGGGAAAAAAACAGTTCACCTCTACCTCATAATAGCAGGTAAGAATTTCAGTTAATGTAAAGTAGTGCTATGATACTACTTCTATCTGAGTCTGTATCTATTTTTATCTCATATGATTGTCATAGTAGGCTGCTTTTATTGCTAAAAATCAGAATTAACTCAAAATAAGTTAACATATTATTTCTATCTGATGTTTTGACTAATCAGAAGTTCTAATCTTAAGGGCTCATGAAGGGTAACTGACTTTTTGAGAGTAACATTTACGATAATATTTTAATGTAGGTTTTTATCAAATTTTTTTTTTCTAGTCCTGTATTTTTAGCTCATTTGGCCCATTTTGCCAGTTTGAGGTTTTGGCAATAGAAACTGGGTACCAAAAAATTTTCAGCAAAACAAGATCAATTAAAAAGAAATTTTAGTCATGAATTATATTCTAATCTACAATGTTTGAAAGTGTCCATTATTGAAGATGCATATATACCATGTATACCTAGGTGAACATTACCATAAGCTCTTTAGAGCCTTTTGCATGTGTAGTTATTTAGTACTATAATATTGTACAATGTATTGTGAAAACGAATGTACCTAAATAATTTAGTAGTGGTGTAGTACTTTCAAACTATTGTACTATTTTTTACCAGATTTCTGAAGGAAAATATCTTTTATCAATTTGGTGATGTAAGGCAGGTGGCTGCCAAATAGTTTTCATGCAATAACTTGAAAACGCTTTGACAAAATCTTTTCAAATTTAGATATGTTGTTTCCTTTGACTAGATGAAGGTCAAGTTTGATTTTCATGATTTAGCTTTTATCATTGTTGAGTTGTAGACCTTTAAGTAGTAAGTGATACTTAAAGAGCATTATCCGTGCAATAACTTGAAAACGCTTTGACAAAGACTTTTCAAATTTAGATATGTTGTATCCTGTAACTAAGTTAAGGTCAAGTTCGACTTTCACGATTTTAGCTTTTATTGTTGTTGTTGAGTTGTAGACCTTAAGTAGCAAAAAGTGATACTTTGATTTATTTTGGCCTTTCCATCCCTGAACCCTACAAAAATTCATTTATTTTTTATGCCCCCGTTGTAGTGGAGGGGGCATTAAGTTTTACCCTTGTCCGTCTGTACATCCGTCCGTCCGTCTGTACATCCATCCGTACGTCCCAAAATTGGTTTCCGTTCTCTACCTTTAGTTTGCCTCAACCAAATGTTATGAAACTTATACACAATGCTTATTACCACAAACACAGATCAAGTTTGAATTTTGGTGGCATCACTTTTACCGTTTTAGAGTTATGCCACTTTACAAATGGAAAAATGGCTGAATTTTTCATTTCTGTTCTCTAACTTTAGTTTGCCTCAACCAAATGTTATGAAACTATTACCACAAAACACAGATCAAGTTTGAATTTTAGTGGCATCACTTTTACCGTTCCAGGGGTTCAAATTTACTTTAGGCAATGGAAGGTCAAGGACCTTTGATCAAACATTCTTAAAGGTCCTCCTTTATTAGCTCACCGGGGCCCGAAGGGCCCTATATGAGCTTATGCCATCACTTGGCGTCCGTCGTCGTCTGTCGTCGTCGTCGTCTGTCGTTGTAAACTATTTAAAAAATCTTCTCCTCTGAAACTACTGGGCCAAATACCTTCAAACTTTAACTAAATGTTCCTTAGGGTATCTAGTTTATAAATTGTATCCGAAGTTTTGATCCATCGACAAACATGTCCTCCATGGCTAAAAATAGAACAAAGGGGTCAAATGCAGTTTTTGGCTTATATCTCAAAAACTAAAGCTTTTAGAGCAAATCTGACATGGGGTAAATTTGTTCAATTGGTCAAGATCTATCAGCTCTGAAATTTTGCAGTTTTTATGCCCCCGCCGTAGCGGTGGGGGCATTAAGTTTTACCCTTGTCCGTCTGTACGTACGTCCCAAAATTGGTTTCCGTTCTCTAACTTGAGTTTGCCTCAACCAAATGTTATGAAACTTATACACAATGCTTATTACCATAAAACACAGATCAAGTTTGAATTTTGGTGGCGTCACTTGAACCATTCTAGAGTTATGCTCCTTTATAAATGGAAAAATTGCAAAATTTTTAGTTTCCGTTCTCTAACTTAAGTTTGCCTCAACCAAATGTTATGAAACTTATACACAAGGCTTATTACCACAAAACACAGATCAAGTTTGAATTTTGGTGGCGTCACTTTAACCGTTCTAGAGTTATGCCCCTTTATAAATGGAAAAATTGCAAAATTTTTAGTTTCTGTTCTAACTTAAGTTTGCCTCAACCAAATGTTATGAAACTTATACACAATGCTTATTACCACAAAACACAGATCAAGTTTGAATTTTGGTGGCGTCACTTTAACTGTTCTAGAGTTATGCCCCTTTATAAATGGAAAAAATTGCAAAATTTTTATTTTCTTCTAAATATCAAGTTATTTTTAAAATTGGAGTTATCTTCCTTTGTCCATGATTATAGTTGAATCAACTACAATCAATGCTTTATACAATGCAATGTTTAATTTTGACTTCCACTGATAAAACACAGATCAAGTTGAATTTGGGTAGTGTCACTTTAACCATTATTGAGTTATGCCCCTTTATAAATAGAAAAATTGCTGAATTTTTAGTTTCTGTTCTCTACTAAAGTTAGCCTCAACCAAATGTTATGAGACTTACAATCAAAACTCAGATCAAGTTCAAATTTGGGTAGCGTCACTTTTACTGTTCTTCAGTTATGTCCCTTTATAACTATATGATATGCAAGCGGGGGCATCATCTGTGTCCACATGTGGACACTATCCACATTTATTTGTTATTATTTTGAATATTATTATAGATATTTTTAAACTGTAAGCAGCAATAATGTTCAGCAAAGTAAGATCTACAAAAAAGTTAATATGACCATAATTGTCAATTGACCCCTTAAGGAGTTATTGCCCTTAAAAGACAATTTTACACAATTTGTTCATCATGTTTGCTAACATTTAAAAATCTTCTCCTCTGAAACTACTGGGCCAATTACCTTCAAACTTTAACCAAATGTTCCTTAGGGTATCTTGTTTATAAATTGTATCCGAAGTTTGTATCCATCGACAAACATGGCCGTAATGGCTAAAAATAGAACCTAAGGGTCAAATGCAGATTTTGGCTTATATCTCAAAAACTAAATCTTTTAGAGCAAATATGACATGGGATAAAATTGTTTAATTGGTCAAGATCTATCGGCCCTGAAATTTTCAGACGAATCAAACAACCCATTGTTGGGTTGCTACAACCGAATTGGTAGTTTTAACAAAATTTTGCAGTTTTTAGCTCATCTGGCCCGAAGGGCCAGGTGAGCTTTTCTCATCACTTGTCGTCCCTCGTCGTCGTCGTTAGCTTTTTACAAAAATCTTCTCCTCTGAAACAACTGGGCCAAATTTAACCAAACTTGGCCACAATCATCCTTAGGGTATCTAGTTTAAAAAATGTGTCTGATGACCTCGCCAACCAACCAAGATGGCCTCCATGGCTAAAAATAGAACATAGGGGTAAAATGTAGATTTTGGCTTATATCTCTGAAACCAAAGCATTTAGAGTAAATCAGACATGGATAAAACTGATTATCAGGTCAAGATCTATCTGCCCTGAAATTTTCAGACAAATCTGACAATCTGTTGTTGGGTTGCTGCCCCTGAATTGGTAATTTTAAGGAAATTTTGCAGTTTTTGGTTATTATCTTGAATATTATTATAGATAGAGATAAACTGTAAACAGCAATAATGTTCAGCAAAGTAAGATCTACAAATAAGTTGGCATGACCAAAATTGTCAGTCGACCCCTTTAGGAGTTATTGCCCTTAATAGTCAATTTTTAACAATTTTTCATAAATTTTTGTAATCTTTTACAAAAATCTTCTTCTCTGAAACTACTGAGACAAATTTAACCATACTTGGCCATAATCATTATTAGGGTATCTAGTTTAAAAAATTTGTCCGATGACCCCGCCTTCCAACCATCATGGCAACTTGGTTAAAAATAGAACATAGGGGTAAAAAGCATTTTTTGGTTTATATCTCTGAAACTAAAGCATTTAGAGCAAATCTGACAGGTGGCAAAAATGTTCATCAGATTTAGATTTATCTGCCCTGAAATTTTCAGACGAATCTGACAACCTGTTGTTGGGTTGCTGTCCCTGAGTTAGTAATTTTACAAAAATTTTGCAGTTTTTTGTTATTATCTTGGATATCATTATAATATCTAATATCTAATACTATAAATTATGATTTTAACCTTATTTATACATGATTTCCAAAGCATCAGTAAATACAGGTGAGCGACACAGGCTCTTGAGAGCCTCTAGGCTGTTATTATTTTGAATATAATTATAGATATATAAACTGTAAGCAGCAATAATGTTCAGCAAAGTAAGATCTACAAAAAAGTTAATATGACCATAATTGTCAATTGACCCCTTAAGGAGTTATTGCCCTTTATAGACAATTTTACACAATTTGTTCATCAAGTTTGCTAACATTTAAAAATCTTCTCCTATGAAACTACTGGGCCAATTACCTTCAAACTTTAACCAAATGTTCCTTAGGGTATCTTGTTTATAAATTGTATCCGAAGTTTGTATCCATCAACAAACATGGCCGCCATGGCTAAAAATAGAACCTAAGGGTCAAATGCAGATTTTGGCTTATATCTCAAAAACTAAATCTTTTAGAGCAAATGTGACATGGGGTAAAATTGTTAAGTTGGTCAAGATCTATCGGCCCTGAAATTATCAGACGAATCGAACAACCCATTGTTGGGTTGCTGCCACTGAATTGGTAGTTTTAACAAAATTTTGCAGTTTTTTGTTATTATTTTGAATATTATTCTAGGTAAATATATAAACTGTAAGCAGCAATAATGTTCAGCAGAGTAAGGTCTACAAAAAAGTTAATATGACCAAAATTGTCAATTGACCCCTTAAAGAGTTATTGCCCTTTAAAGACAATTTTACACAATTTGTTCAAGTTTGCTAACATTAAAAAATCTTCTTCTCTGA